GATGCTGGAGAAACCTTCCAGCTACATACCCAGGGAGGGTTTGGTGTCTTTTTATGTTCATGTCCAGAGGGGATGTTTATACTTGTGGCTCCCATGGCATCAGCTCTTAAAATGTTGTCTCACTCACCCTCTTTAAAAAATTCAGGAGACTCTCATGCTCACTTGGGGTTTCTGTCTCTGCAAGGCCAGAAACCATCACCGGAATCCCCAGATTTTGCATAAAGTACTATTGCAAATTTGATTCTACTGAGCTGTTGATTTTTCTAATAGGAGAATTTTGTCTCTCTCCCTAAAACAAAACAAACAGACATAAGACAGGAGTGCCATCTCCTTGCAGCAGCTTCCCACTGGCACTGGCCTTTCTCTGAGAAAGGGGTTCCTAAGGGGTACATAGCACCTTTGCTGTCTGAAAGGCTCTAGGAAGGGTCCGCCCCCTTACTCTTTCTGGGCCCAGGACATTAGCATTTGGTCCAGGATTTCAGTTCCCTATGCAAGCACCTCTTGTCCAGAACCAGTGTAACTGTTGTCTTATTGATAGGACTCTAGACAAAAAAAAAAAAAGAAAAAGAAAAAGAAAAAGAAAAAGAAATTAAAGGGGCTATTTAAGGCCAGCCCTTCCCAGACCAATTGGAAGTCTAACACTTGTCTATGCCAACTTCATGGTGAAAATGTTATAACCCATGACTGACAAGACCCTTTCTGATGTTGACATGGGTGCCTCCAACATCTGGAGACCCCTCTGAGACATATGAACACTAACATGGTAACCTCTTCTGAGACAAGGAGCACGCTCAGTCAGTAAACCACCTTACAAATGGCTTAGTTAGTGGTGGTTAATGCCTTTGATGTAGAAAACAGGGATTCCCTTGTCCCAGCAAAACTGAGACCTCCTAAGACAAGGAGAAAAATCTTGTTTCACCCTCAGGGAAGCAAGCCTGAAGCCAAAGTTGAAAGGACACACAACACTCCCGAGGACATGATAAGAAGAGGGGACAGTTGTCCCCTCAATGAGAGATTGCTCCCGGACCCTGGAAGGCTCTCCCAGGACAGCTGCTTACAGGCCCTCACTGCTAAGCCTGTCTGCTCAGAAAGAGTACATTTTTTACTTTTTTCTCTATTTCCTCTCTCCAGGTACTTGTCAAAATCCATTCTTGTCCTTTGAACATACCCCCAACCCCAGCTCATGCAACTGCTCAGACTCCATTGCTGAGACTGCTGCTTCCCTGACTTCTAATTCAAAAGGCATGTTTGTCCTTCCTTCCTTCCTTCCTTCCTTCCTTCCTTCCTTCCTTCCTTCCTTCCTTCCTTCCTTCCTTCCTTCCTTTCTCCCTCCCTCCCTCCCTCCCTTCCTCCTTTCCTTCCTTCCTTTCTTCTCTCTTTCCTTCTCTCCCCCTTCCTTCTTTCTGTCCCTTCCTTGCAGCTGCTGAGATCTCCAGCTTTCCTGCCCTTTGGTTTCTTAAACTCTAATAAAGTAAAATTGTCCTTGAGTTTTCTTCTGGGTCCATTTTTAAATTCTTTTTTATCTACAAGGCTAACGATCTGCAAAAGGGACCCTATGTGTCCCAGTGACATTAAACTAATTAGATACTTTTTCATGCACCAAGCAGAGTTTCCTGTGTTGGGGTAGCCTGAGACAGGCACATCCTTCCGTCTTCCACATCTGGACACAGAGCAGGCAGGTGCTTATGGATTAACTCTGCTGCAGCAGGGTGTGTTTTCTTGTCTTGGATAAATGCATTCTCTTTCTCTTCCTGACTCAGAGGGAAACACTACAGGTAGGAGCAGACACTAAACTTGGAGCCCTGGGTTCTCCCTAGATGGTGAGGAGACAGGTGGAAAGGCCAAGAGGAAGCTGAAGATGACTGCTCTTAGACCATGTGACAGGGCATTGAAGACAGCAAAGCTGTCCACCTGCACCGAGGGGCCCTTTCCCTGCGAAACGTCTCTATAACTTGTGGTTGGGAGCATAAGCAGACAGTGTGTCACACCGGTGTTACCTATGGGTACTGATGGGTCAGACAGGGGGGATCTGCTGCCCCCATGTGTACCCATCCATCTCAGAAATGGCTACACTTGATATGAGTCAAGACTGCATGGCTTGGCCAGATCCTAGAGGGCTGGCAGTATTCAGAAGAAAATATTTTAGTTTATTTGAAACTTAATTAAAACTTGGAAAACAAATTTATTTTATCCTTTAGAAGACTAAAGATCTTGCCTCCCTCCACTTCCCAGTTTGAATATAATAACAGTATGATGGGTACTGGATTATGTTCTCAGATCAAGGGGTCTGGGTCATCACAAATTCCCAATGAGGAACCAATATACGTTTTATTGCTGTTTTGGGGTTGGGGGACCCAAGTAAAACTCAAATCTCAGATCTCATTTTTATCTGACAAAAATCAGTCTTCTTTTCCCAACAAACTAGTTCCGAAACTAAGACACAACAAAAAGCTCATGTATACTGTGTCCACTCAGTGTTTTTATAGCCAATCCTGTCAGCGAAGCAATGCAATGTGTGTCCCTGTGCTGCTGCTGCTGCTGTCCTCTGGGTGAGTCTGTGATTCTCATTTCCCCCATCCCCCAGGACCGGCACAAGCTAGGTGAGCGCTGTTCCACTGAGCTAAGCCCATCTTTGTTTCACAAACCAGCCGAGAAGTGCGGATCTCTGAGATCAGCTCTCAGATTCCCAATCTACTCACCATGGCACTTGGATGCTGCTGGTGCCACTGTGCACCCCAATGCAGAAGGTGTGGCCCTGCACAGGTGATCTAGGCCAGAACATGCAGTGTCTTCCCCAGTTAGATGCACACAGCTGCTGCAGTTGGAGTCGCTGTGGAGAAAACCCACGTGCCTACCCCTGGCTTGGCATCATCCACTGTCCGATGGGTCCTGATGCTTACAGAGGGGGATGCTGAAGTTGCAAACAGGCAGCTCTCCAGAGGAGACTGGAGAGAGAGTTCTGAGTGGGTGTGGGCTCATCGGCATCCCCAAGGGAGGCAGGGACAGCATCCTCTCAGCATCTCCACGCTCTGGGCAATCTTCTGAACCCACCAGGGTCATTAGCACATTCAAGTTGTAGTTCTGTGCCACCTCAGTGTTCCAGTCCCCACAGGTCCAACCAGAAAATAAGGGCCAGGAGAATTTGTCCCTTGATAGAAAAATAATTTAATATAACATGCAAGCAAAATTCGGGCACTCCGGCTGTTGTTCAAAAGACAGCAATACACAGGGGCTGATTTTCTTCTTCCCCTTGTCCACAAGAATTACTATGTGGCTTAAAAAGATAGTTGAGGCACAACTAGTCCAATTCTACCCAGAACAGGATTACACACTTTTTAAAACCTAAGATCTATTCAAAACCAGTCAAACGTTTTTTGTTTGTTTGTTTTTTATATATCTTTAACCAATAATTTTATGTCAAGAAAGAGCCTGTTCTTCTAGACAGTAGAAGGATTCAGTTAATGAGTTGGCAAGTAATCTTGTATCATTTCTTTATTTTTACTACTGAATTTGGGAAAACATTGGCATAGATATGTTTGTACTTTAGTTTTAGAAACTGAACTAATTTCTTGAGCTCCCTGATTTCTTTAGTTGTGAATACACATATATTTACTGTTTCTCTGTGGTACTGCAAATGAAGTCCAGGACTTCATATAGTCAGGCACATGTCGCCCACTGAATGCCCTCCAGAGACCTGTGTCCTCGTTTCTATTGCTGTTGTGGAGGGAAAAATGATCTCACACAATAAAAAACTTAGAGAAAAAAACTAAATGGAAAAAATTAATAGAGGCCAAGTTCCTGAAATCAGCAAGGCAATCCCAGAGACCAGCAGCAGATGGAGTTAGAGTCATTGGCTAAGGAATTCACCAAAATGACCATGCAGGCACGTTTGACTAAATGTAATTACAGCTACAGAAAATATTCCCTGCCAGCAACTGTGTACATGGCGGGTCCCTAGCTGAGTATGTGCACACATGCTGGCTGTCTACACCCTTTCGTCCTCCATGTACAGCAGAATAGAGTGACAGAGGGCCCCAGAAACAAACACCAGCCACAAACTGATGGGAGGGAGAGAGGACAAGTTTAACAAATTTTCTACTGCCTCCACTTTCTCTGTCCCGTGGGATGCTGGGAGTAGGAGCTGCCACTTCAAGTTGGGCTAATGGGTAGGGACAATGCTGAATTCTGTCTTTCCTTAGCATTCCTGATTCTGGGTCTTTTCAGTATGCTGAGAAAACTGGCCTATTTGGGAAATTTATATATTAAACTAGTGACTTGATTCAGTAGAGTGAGACTTGAGGAGAAGAAAATATTCATGAAATTAGTTCTGTAAAGAACTCATCTAGTCTTCTGGAAATATAGATATCAATATATGTAGACACAGCTTGAGAGTTATAGCTTAGGACAAGCGAATCTAATGTTGGCAGTTGACTTTGTAATTATTCTTTACAGAGAAGAGTTTCCTAATTGTCAGAGCGATGCAAAGGAAGGAAGAGAAAGTGGCAAATGGTAATATTGCAGATTAGAAGAAAGTCCAGTCTGTACTAAGAGGGGTGCACAGTAAGATAGAGATGATGGAAAGGAGAGCAGGTACCAGACATCCCATGAGGGAATGTACTGCCGTACCGCTAAGAGAGACCCAGACACCATGAAGGCGTCTACATGGGTTCTGGGGACCTAAACTCTGGCACTCAACCACAGAGCCATCTCCTTGCCCCAGGTGTCAATTTCTTTATAGAAACGTTTTAATCAAAGTTCCTAGGAGGTTCTCCACATTCCAAGTCAGTATAACATCTGACGCATGGCCTGTGGGTCCTGAGGCAACACACAATCTAATAGTGTCATTGTGACATGCAGGGACCCAAATCCCCAGCAGAGGTCAATGAAACCATGCCTGAAAACGCAGCACTATCCCATCGCTGGAATCCTGTATTTCTCCAAAGCTGGCTCTCTACTTAGATTTCTTTTCCTGTACCTAAAATAGACTTGACACATTTAGCACTTGGCATTGACCTTTATTGGATGGTGGCTGACTGGTTACAAATAGCATCTATATATTGCATTTTGTAAAACATTTCTAGTTGTATCTTTTAATTCTCTTTCCAGGTTAATCATCCACTCATTCAACAAATATGCATTCAGCCATAACCACATGCAACCAGTGTTTGAGATCCTGTGATATGCTTAGGAACACATTGTCAATAAATATCCTGTTCTCTTCATGATGCTTACATCACACCACAAAAGAACAAATAAATTAGTAATTAAATAAACCTTCATAAATAAGAGTTTAGTATGGTGTATGATGTATACTGATATGTACTATGTGGGGTAAGCAAGCCTCATGAGCCTGGTGAAGGGGAACTGGGAAGGTGTGCGGAAAGAGGAGGTCTTCAGTGAGAAGACTTAGAGTGGGTTTATCAGAGAGGAGGAAACAGTTGAGGAGGTACTGGGAAAGGAGAGTTGCAATCAGCAATCACAGTTGGGGAGAAACCCTGTGGTGGGAAGTACTTGGTTGAACGTAGGAAAGGCCCTGTGGTGGGAAGTACTTGGTTGGATGTAGGAGAGGCCCTGTGGTGGGAAGTACTTGGTTGGCTATAGATCCACCATGGAGGCAAGGTAGCTGGAGCAGAATGAAAAGGGAGCTCATGATGGAGGAAGACAGAATTGGAAGAAGGACCAGGCTCAGGTCATGAGGGCCCAAGAGCTCACCTTGAAGGGTGAAGTTTTCACTGGACTTTAACTCTACCGAGAGGGTCAGTGCAGTGGCAGCCCTGTCTGGGGTCTGAGGGGATGTGCTGAAGAAGAATGCGGGCAGGGAAGGACCAGCTGGGAAACCGCAGAGAGATGAGTACAGTAATGCAGAAGGGTGGGCGTGAAAGTGCAGGCTGAGATTGCCGCAGCCAGGGATCAAGACTGGCTGGACTCTCAGCCCCTTTGAAGCAGAGCCACACCGTCACTGCCGAGGGGCTAGAGGTGGACAGTGTGATCAAGAACACGGTAAAGGAGTTGCTTGGTCTGAACAACTGAAGGAAAGATGCTGCCATGTACAAGATATGAGACTTTTCTTCTGCTTTTAATTAGAGGGTGATTGTACTGTGGTAGGATCTGGGGCTAAGTTTTAGACGGGCTGGGTTTTAAATGCCTGTACAGTTCAAGTCAATGGTTAAATATAAAAAGGTGTTGTTTGGGAGAAAGGGTAGAGAAAGTGGGGAAACAGGTGTCCATTTAGAGGACTTTACAGCCAGTGGGTTAGAATTCCAGAGAGGATGTTGAGAGCATTTTAGGGATTGGAAAGGCAGGGGAAGGATCGAAGTAGGAGATGCAAGATTTGAAATCTTAGAATACAGAGGAAGAATTCTTTAATAACTCATGTTAGGTTAGTGACTTGCTAGTTGGCACTGTGAGATGGCAAAACTCAGAGTTTTGGGGACACACCAGAGACAGGAACTAGGGTCTCCATGGCAGGAAGGGTGGTCCTGGGACTCAGATGTATCCATTGTCTCAGTCCCAACAAGATGATTTCCATGTCCCTGTGAGTAGTTGGAGATCCCATGGGAAATGTCATCTCGGACTAATCATTGATCCAGGCTCTTGATGGGTTAAAGCCCCTCTGTTCCACCCAGATCATGCACTAAGATGGCTTGTATGGTGTGTGAACTATACACAGGGGCATGTGAAGACCTGTCATTTCCTATCTGAAAATGAGAGACAGAGCAGAGAAGTATCTGCGTATGACCAATTAAAAAAAATCTAGAAAGAAAGCTGTATCAATAACATGATTGAAAGTAATACTATGGGCCATAAAATATCCATGGAAAAGGGAAAACATCTTGAATTTTAAAGTAAGGTTGAAGAGGAAGATGAACTTTTTGGTGGAATATTAAGATAAAGAAAACTGGATTTGTCAATAATTCCTATAGGGCTGTCATTTCAGAGCATGACATTTTAACATTTAACACTTATTTACCAGACACAGATACAGAGAGGAGTGAGAGCAAGTGAGCCTTCACTGACCTTTAAGGGCTTTGTTGGAAAGACAGAGAATATACATGAAAAATAAGTTAAATATCATTATCATCTCATCACCCTCTTTACACAGTATTTAAGTAAGAGTTAAATTCTGGCCTCTCGCCAATGATAACCTCACAAATCTCCATTAACTTTGAGGGTGTCATCAGTGTCCCTGCTCTAGGATTCATCCCAGAAGCTGAGTCTGGGCAAGAAAGGATATGATTTATTGAGGTCTTAAGAACCAGTGTCAGGAGAAGAGGCAGAAAGCAAGTGCATGCTGTTTCCTTCCCGGAGAGATTTGTCCCTGTGAGTGGATGGAGCTTGAATGGACAGTAAGCTTTCAAGCCAGTTCCCATCTAGTCATTACTAGTTCCTGAAAGAAAAAAATCCAAACTTCTGAGAACTTTCTGCCTGTTTAGGTCCTGGGGGTTGAGTTCAGGGTGTTGAACAAGACAGCCTAGTGCTTTACAAACTAAGCTACGGTATCTGACTTTTTTTTTTTTGAGGTTGAATCTTACAGGCATGTACCACCACCAATGCCAGAGCACAGCTTCCTTTAAAAACAATTAACCCAGTGGCTAGAGAGATTGCTCAGCAGTTAAGAGCACTTGCTACTCTTACAGAGGACCAGGGTTGGTTCCCAGAAGCCACATGGTGGCTTACCACTGTTCACAACTCCAGCTCAAGGAGATCTGAATTCCTCTTCTGACCTCCTCGGGCACTGTACACACATGGTGCACAAGCATACATGGGGGCAGAACATCCATACACATAAAATAAGCAAATCTTAAAAAAAAAAAACCACTTAAAATATTTTAAAATAAACAATGAATCCAAAGACAAAAGGAGAGGTCTAGGAATCAGTGATATTGGATTTAGAGTAATGAACTTCAAAATAATTGAGAACTGGTTCTAAAATAAAGGGGACAGAAACTGGAAAGATGACTCAGTGGTTAAAACTTCTTGCTGCTCCAGAGGCCTGGAGTTCCGTTCCCTCCACCCATGTTGGGCAGCTCACAACTGCCCGTAATCCCAGCTGCAGGGATCTGACACCCTCTTCTGGCCTCTGCTGGCACTTGCACTGATATAGCATACACACACACAGAAGCATATATGCATATACACATAAAAATAACATCTTTTAAAAAAACCAGAAAAGATGGAAAGTAATCGACTGCAGTGTTAGGAAATACAAACGTAGAAAGGAATGATTCTGAACCTATTAATCTAGAAGGAACTGCAGACTAGGTAGGGTGACACATCCAACAAGAGAGAGAGAATGAGATCGAGAAAGGAAAAGGAGAAAAGATTCAGAATTATGGGTCTCACGGGAATAATATCAGCTGATTTTGAAGCAATCTCATTTCTCAGCCAAACATTGTGGCACACACCTGTGTCCAGGACACTGAGGCGAGAGTTGGGGGAGAGCCTTAGACAGGAAGACTGTGTCTCAAAAACAAAACAATCAGAAACAAGTAGAATTGATACTCCTGCATCCCATGTTGAGGATGGAAGGACAATCTCATTTAATTCTAGCTTCTTACTGTGAAAATGCACCAAGGGAAGACGAGACATCTGGCAGCAGGGTTCGATGAGCCTGCTGCCTTTTCGAAGTCATTCCCTCCACATAGCTCCTCAGTACGTGAACCACCCGGGATCCACTCCTTAGCCCCCATGGGAGAGTTTCCACAGAACAGGCCTGCAGAGCTGGCATTGGTGTGGCTTGTTGAAGCAGGGCACAGCCATGCTCCCCATCCATCCAGTACCCCTGTGAAGCACAGCACTTCCGGATGGTTTCAGCATTCCTCACTTCTAACAGCAGCAGCGAGATCAAGTAGACCCCTGGGGGTCCAGTTTCCAGGCCCTGCTTCTGCCATGAGTGGCAAGATAAGAGGGGTCGTGTCACAGACAAAAAAGTAGGGCCTGAGAATGCCGGAGAAGAGATGGCTGAACGTGTAGATGTAAGACCCATTTGTGATGTTGTAGAAGGAGATTTCGCCTGCTTCGTAGTCCAGAAAGATCCCGATGCGGCGAGGTCGCTCATCTTGGAGCACAGGCACCGAGGGAGAGGCCAGGACCATGTACTCGCTTCCCCTCAGCAGCCACATGGCCCAGACGCCGTTCTCTGGCGATGGTGTGGTTTCCCCCTTTCTGGGCAGTGAGTCTTGGCACACCCCTAGCCCCCACTCTGCCCTTTCCCCCACGATGACTTCCCAGTAGTGTCTTCCAGAGGAGAAGCCCTGCAGGCCCAGGATGCAGGGCCAGGTATCAAAGCGTTCAGGGTTGCTTGGGACGTCCCTCCAGACCTCCGCGTCCTGTACACTGCGTAGGTCGGCCGTCAGAAGCAGGCTGGGGTGCGCAGTGGCGGGATCCAGCTTCACGTCCACTGTGGAGTTTTGCCAAGCATGAGAATGAGCAGAAAGATCTAGCAAAACCTTCTCTCTCTCTCCCGCCCCCCTTTTCTCCCTCCCTTCCTCCCTCTCTCCTTTTTTCCCTTTCTTCATTTATTCTACTGTGCTGAGGATAGACCCTAGTCTTACATAGTACCACTGAGCTTCAGTTCCAGCTGCTGAAAACTCAGGTACCACTAAGAACACTCAAACAGTTTCTCACTTTCTCTCACCCAGAAAAACTGAGCCTGGCAAAAGCCCTGATTTGGGCCTCACAGAACTCTGCTGGACACAGTGGGACTTCTATAAAAAGGAAGATACCAGAATGTGTGGCCTCCAGGCCACTAACTACATAGAGATTCCTGGAAGGAGGAGTTTGGTGTGGGAAGGGGTAGGGATGGGCAGAAGCTGAACCTCTTCTCCTTGCTCCCTATTCATCATTTCTGTCTGCTTGTCCCTCTGTATCCTCCGAAACTCCTTCACAATAAATGACCAAGTGGTGTTCCCCTGTGTTCTGTAAGCAGGCCTGCAAATTAGTTGTATTAATTGACCCTGAGAAGGGGAGTCCAAAGAAACCCTCCTGATAGCTGATCAGTCAGAAGTACAGGCCAGAACCAGTCCACTGCACTGTCATCCTACCAGCTGTTTAAAGACGAGTAGACACCTATACTCCCCAAACAGTTCTACAAATAGAAAGGGAAAGGATGTTACCAAACTCTTTCTACGGAGCCAGTATCACCCTAATACCAAACCCAGAGAAGGGCACAATGGAAAATTACAAAATTCTCTGATAAAAATGGATGCAGAGAATTTCAGTAAATACTTCCAAACCAAATTTAAGAACATATTAAGAATGCCATATTCCATTGCCATGTTGGTTCATTCTAGCTATGAAAAGATGGTTCAATGTACACAAATCAGTATTGAGTAACCCAGCTGTGCTGGCTGGTCTTAATATCAACCTGACACAAGCTAGAGTTATTTGAAAGGAGAGAACTGCAATTGAGAAAATGCCTCCAAAAGATTTGGTTGTAAGGCATTTTCTTAATTAGTGGTTGATGGGGGAGGGTCCAGCCCATTGTGGATGGTGCCATCCCTGGGCTGGTAGTTCTGAGTTCTATAAGAAAGCAGACTGAGCAAGCCAGTAAGCAACACCCCTCCATGACCTCTGCATCAGCTGCCGTCTCCAGGTTCCTGTCCTGCCTGAGTTTCTGTCCTGACTTCCTTTGATGGTGAACTGTGATGGGGAAGCATAAGCTAAATAAACTCTTTCCTCCCCAACTTGCTTTTGGCCATGAATTTGGTCATAGCAATAGTAACCTCAACTAAGACACCAGCACATAAATAAACCTAAGGGCAGAAATCACATGATCATCTCAACAGATACAGAAAAGACCTTTAATGATGCTGAATATCCATCCCTTCATGGTATCTTAACATAATAAAGGTTATAGAAGATAAACATAGCATTTCCTTTAAGTCAGGGATGAGACAAGAAAACACACAGTCCTCACTGTGTAGTGCTTGAAGTCTTAGCCAGAGCAATAAGGCAAGATAAAGAAGTAAGAGAACAAAGCTGAAGAAAGAAATTAAAATTTTCCTACTTAGCTGTAAGTACAATTATATACTTAAAAGACCCTCAGGACTTCACCAGAAAACTTTAGACATGATAAACACTTTCAGCAAAACAGTGGGCTACAAAACATACATCAAATATCAGTATCTTCTCTATCTACAAACAATGATCTTCATGAGAGAGAAAGAAAAATACCATCCATGATAACTTCCAAAAAGCCAAAATAAAACAAAAAATAACAATAAAAGTCCTCCCAAAACTCCAGGAATGGATCTACCCAGGGAGGGGAAGAGCTTCTACAAAGAAAATGTTAACACACTGAGGGAAGAAACCAAAAGACACCACCAGAAGACAGAAAGACTTCCCTGTCCACAGACTGGCAGAATTATTATTATGAAATTGTTATGCTACTTAAAACAGCCTGAAGATTACAATGATCCCCATCAAAATTCCAATAGACAAATAGCCAAACGAATGGAAACACATGAACTATGAACCAATAGCTGAGGAGCCCCCAACTGGATCAGGCCCTCTGGATAAGTGAGACAGTTGATTAGCTTGATCTGTTTGGGAGGCATCCAGGCAGTGGGACTGGGACCTGTCCTCAGTGCATGATCTGGCTGTTTGGAACCTGGGGCTTATGCAGGGACACTTAGCTCAGCCTGGGAGGAGGGGACTGGACCTGCCTGAACTGAATCTACCAGGTTGAACTCAATCCCCAGGGGAGTCTTTGCCTTGGACGAGATGGGAATGGGGGGTGGGCTGGGGGGAAGGTGGGGGGGGGGAGGACAAGGGAATCGTGGCTGATATGTAAAATTAAATTAAATTATAAGAAAATAACTGACACTGGAAAAAAAAGAAATTGTCAAAGAATAAATAAAGGATTGTATTTAAATTTTAAAACATCCAATAGAAATCTTAGAAAGAGGAAAATCAATCCTAAAATTCATATGGAAGCACATAGGACCCAGAGAACTCAAAGCAATCCTGAGCAGAAAGAGCAAGTGTCATAATACCTGGTCTCAAATTTTACTACAGAGCCATAGTGACAAAATCAGTCTAGTGTTGATACAAAACCAGATTTGTAGAGCAGTGGAATAGAAGAGAGGACCCAGGTGTAAAACCACACAGCTACAACCAAATGAATCTCAACAAAAATGCCAGAATCGTGCATTGGGGGAAAAAAAGAGTCTTCAGCAAGTGGTGTTGGGAAACTGGATATCATATTCCCATGTATAAGAATGAAGCTAGACTGTTATCATTCAGCTAACACAAAAATTGACTCAAAATAAATTAAAGACCTTAATAGAAGACCTAGAGCTATGAAAGTAGTAATGGGAAATATCTATCATCTATCCAGATATAGGACATAAAAGCAAAAACAAAGTGATATTTGAGTGAGGGACAGAGACAGACAGGAGGTAAGGGGGCCATAGAGGGTGATGGGGTTGAGTATGAGCAAAGTACAATGACGCACATGTATGAAAATGTCATAAGGAACCCATTTCCTGGGGACAGAAAGATGGCTCAGTGGTTAAGAGCACAGGGTGCTCTCGTAGAGAATCTGGGGTTTTGTTCTCAACACCCACAATTGTGTCTCATAACCGTCTATAACTCCAGGTGCAGGAGATCTGATGTCCTCTTCTGGTCTCTAAGGGCACTGCACACACATGGTGCAGGCCAAACAACTCATATGGAAAATAAGAATAGAAATCACTTTTAGAAGAAAGAAAGTCATTACTTCGTATGCTTACAAAAAACAAAACAAAACAAAACAAAACAAACAAAACCAAAAACCCAAAAAACAAAAAACAAAAAGCAAAACTGTTTAAAATGGAGGCCACAACCTACATGGGAGGGGGTTGTCAGTCTTGTGGGGTGGACTGTCAGCCTGATTCCATCTCTGGGCTGATCTTGTCAGAAAGGGAATTGGGTTAGATTTCTAGCTGGGGAACCCACTGGGGCACTGGTTAAGTGTGTGAGGGAAGAGTCTAACACATTTCGGTGACCAAAGGCTCTGGAGTCAGTGAGAGAACAGGGGGAAGAAAAGATAATTTTTGCTTTATTTGTCCTTATCCCTGATGACAAGCACCAAGGCAGAGGTGAAGCTCTGGGACCCACAGACCACTCATGATAGCACGCTCTCAAATAAGTTGTGGCTGACTTTTACCTCTAGGATTTGGGGCTCTGATTGTTACCACTGCGTGACATCCAGAGTCAGCTGCACTGAGAGCCTGGCCCAGACATCAAGGTTCTGTCTACAAATGCAGCCATGCTTCGGGTAAGAATAAGACAGAAGCCTGGGAGCCAGAGAGGAGAAAATGCATCTAACAGCTGAGTCTGCACACACACACACACACACACACACACACACACACACACACACACACGCGCGCGCGCGCGCGCGCCTTAGTCTTAGTTTATGTTTTCTACACATTGTGAGACTTTTACAGGTGGCACAGAGGGAGATTGGGAGGTTTTTCTTTCCCCAGTTCTGGCCCAAACTAATTTCCTTTGACCTGTTCCTGCCTCTCCCTCTTGTGAAGGGGAGCGCGGTGGAGCCGACGCCTACCTTGGAATTTCTTCAGCATCTCCCTCATCCCGGGGATGCGGCACACCGTCTTCAGCTCCAAGGGGATGGCCTCTGGTTCCAGCCGTGCCACAGCTTTGCTTCTGGAAGTATGCAGAGCCCACAGGTGTCAGTGTGGTCAGCAGGGGCCTATCTCCCCCGCACCAGCCACCCCGCACTGATTCAGAAGTGAGACATACCGGGTCAAGACTCCTCTTACTCCCTGGAAAGGAAAGACACACAGGGATGTGTCAGGCCTCTGACTTCTTTCTGAAGTCAGGCTGGATGCACAGTAAAGATGTCAGTAGAAATATCTCAAAGTTACTAACACCTAAGATGAAACTTCAGGGGAAAATGAACCCCTGCTCTTTATAGGAAAAAGAAGGCTTTAAACAATCAAAGTCTAGGTGACAAGATCAGTCACCATCAGAACAGAATCATGCTGCACACAGTTTACATCCGTTCCCCCCCCCAACCCACCAGTTTAGCTGTTTTCGGAATAGACAATTCTGCCAATTGGCTCTTTTGGTAGAGTTAAACCCTGTACTTAATGAAGATAGAATTGGGGGGAAGGCATTGAAATATCTGAAGAATTTATTTGAGGTAAACACACACAAATGTCACCCTTAATGCCTTTGCAAGGGAATATCAAATGTCTAATTCTTATCCGTCACACCAAAGCTGATCATTTGATCTACACTGATAAAAAAGGAAGCCATTAATATCTGGCAGCACTTTCTCTTTTAAAAGAAAAAATATATATATATGTATATATTTGTGTGTATGTGTTTATATATGCATATGAATCACCTAAAATCTAGTCAACATATAACTTTTTGTAAACACTCAATTGTTTAGTGTGCATCATTAAGTTTTTGTGTTAGTGTGAGCTACCTGGCTCTCTAAGGTTCCCCTCAGATTCTCATGCCTTCTGCATCAGTTCTAAGTTCGTCTACTGAGAGCAAGCATGCCTAGGTGCTGGTATCCAGATGACAAGATCTCACCTCTGCCCCTTAGCCTCACATCTGTAACCCCCCCCCCCGCCCCCGCCCCACTCCCCGCCTCACCTCCAGCAGCCCCAGGGCTGGCCGCTGGCTCCTCTCCTGCAGCTCTTCAGCCAGCTCCTTCAGGGCCTTGTTCTGTTGGACCAGCCTGTTCCGACTGTCTCGCAGCCTCTGCAGGGTTGCTCGCTCCTCCTCTTCCAGCCGCCTCAGCTGCAGCTGTTCCTCCTGGGCCAGAAAACCTCGGTGTTTCTCGAACTCCAGCCTGAAACGCTGTCTCTGCGTCTCCACTTTCTCCTGGGGAGACACGGCAGGCTGGGTCACGGAGGATGTTTTGAGGCATCAGTTGGGGACTCCTGCTTTCAAGTGTGGGGCAGCCGAGCTGGGGACGCATGCCCAGAGTCGTCTCTGCTTTTCCCTCGAACTGACTGTTGGCTGTGTTCTAACAGCATGCAGGGGCCAGAACCATTGGTATGGGGGCTGGGGGGCTGGACAGCACCAGTCTGAGAAAGGCTACTGGACCCGGGATCTCAATTAGACGTGGATTTGAAGGCAAGCATTTCTAGATAGAAGCTTCAGTATCATATGTAAAATAGGACAGAAGTGTGGGGTGGGGTGGGAGGTCAGTGACGATTGGTCCAGCTATGAACAGTGTCCAGTCATCACAGAATACTTGTTACTGTTTATTCTACCAGACACTGTATCTACAAGAAGCAACAAGAGAGAGATTACAGAAACCTGGATTTGTAACTGTGCAAAGCTTGAGAGTAAAAACAGTCTCTTTAGTGCTGTGTGTGTGTGTGTGTGCACGCGTGTGCGCGCATGTGCGTGCGTGTGTGCGTGTGTGTGTGTGTGTGTGTGTGTGTGTGTGTGTGTGTGTGTGTATAGAGGTGTGCTCACCTGTGGGTGCATATGCAGAGGCCAGAAATTTACATTAAGTATCCCCCTCTACTCTTCTCCACCTCCACCTCATTTTTAACGACAGGCTTTCTCCCTGAGCCCTGTGCTCACTGTTTAGGCTAGGCTGGCCAGCAACCCCCAGGAATCTGCCCGTCTTTGCCCACCCCCTACCCCAACACCAAGGTCACAAGAATACATCACCACCTCAAACTTTTGATGTGAGTGCTGGGGATCCAAATGCGGGTCTGCATGGTTGCATGACAAGCACTTTAGCCCCTGAACCCCAGGCCCTAAATGTTCTTTACTACAAGGTAATGGTGGCTAATATTTTCTGTACAGCCAAAAACAAGCTAAGTGTCCCTCAGGCACTGGCTTGCACATTAGATTCAGATTATTATCCTGGTTTCCACCGTTAATGTCTACAACTCCTAAAGAGGTCCAAGGAATAGATTTTATTATGGGTTACTGTATCTCAGTTTGGTTCTTGCAAAATCAGTATTTAGGAAACCAGATGTAAAGCAAGGGTAAGAGGCAAATTATCCCCCAGAGCATCTACTTCCTACATTCTCTGCTGTTTCTAATGTTCATAATTTCCTGGTTTCACTGAAGGACAGGATACTTTTTTTTTCTTTAGAACCAGCTGCATTAACAGTTCTCTCTCTTAAAACAACAACTTCCTCCAATTTTCATCCCCTCTCTTTTCACCATTTTCTAAATCACTACATTCACATGGTCATGGCCACTTCCTAAAATCAAGTAAATTGAAATTTCATGCCCTGATTTCCGAAACGTGAGGCTCCTGTTAAATACCCACAACACTCCCCGATGTGGGAGGCGATGCTATGGTTGAGCTAGACTGAGAACGTAGCTGTGGGGTTACAGTGGCTCAAACCAGGGGCACGAGAGGCAATGGTGAGGAGAGACTTTTGCAGTCCATCTTCCTTCATCCCACCCTTCTGCGTGTGAAAGTTACAAAAGGAAGAAGGACCCTCTAGAACTTATGATTATATTTATCAAATCTCCTTTGTTGACTGTGTCTCCTGTGGACCCGTTACTGACTGTAAACCATGCAGGAGCACTTGTCTTAACAGAAATCTTAGCATCACATCTATGTTAGCATAGCCATTATGGGGTCTAGATGTGAGGACCCAGGTCTTGGATATGGGACTCTGATTGCCTAGGTCCATGGGCAGGCCAAAATCAAGAGCAAGTGCCTTGGATTATGAGCCTGGATATTATTAATTTGAGAAGCAATGTTTAACTTCACCCATATTGGACACTGTGATTTGAATGGAATAAGACTTATCCCAGAAGAAAAATGTAAGGAAAAAAAAACAGTTTTTACGGGAGAAAATAATCTATAAAGACTGTACTTTCAACAAAAACAAGAAGGAAAGATCTAGAACAATACAAAAAAGAATAGAAAATGTTATTTGTAGAAGGAGAAAAATAAGAATATATCTTGGATATCACACAACACATTGAATACGTAATGTGCCCATGATTTCTAAGTTTCACAGTCTGACACCATTGAGAGTCTGACCAGACAGCTGTGTCACAGGTGTGGGGAGAATGTTATACACCGTAGCAGGTGTGTCCAGCCCACAGCCCATGGGCCAACTGCGTGTGTGCTGGGGACAGCTGTGAATGCAGCCCAACACATTTGCAGATGACAGTGTTGTGTCTCAGTGTCAAAAGGTTGGACTCCCCTGCCACAGTGTTCCGCAGCGTTTCCTGACTCTGCCCAGTAGGTGGCGGCAGCATGCTTCAATCTGTGGCTCAACTGGAGATAATCCAGGTTCAGAAAGGCTGCCTCCACAGGTATGCAAATAAGATGTATAATGAAGGAAAAGGGCTGGGTGAGGTGCAGAAGAGGAATGCATGGGTACGTGACTGCCGACAGCTGATTGTCCTTCGGTGTATAGGGTGGTTGATGTTCTCTGTACTCTGTTACACATGTTGTATAGCGTTGATTTTCATTCATCTCACAGATCTGTGAATCATGGATTGAGGTGACTGACTTATAGCAATGAGTTTGACAGTAAGATTCAGGGGGCAAAGCGACTTACTTATAAGTCAGGTCATATCAACAGGATTGAAAAGTGACCCAGGAGGGCACTGTGGTGCTTTGTGGAGGAGATGGGGAGTCAGAACGTGAGTGTGAGAGAGTGTGATGGCAGAATGTCTCACACCCTTGGCCTGAAAGCTCCCTGAAGCCACAGTTCTGTCCCCACCTTCCAAATGACGGTCTTCTTCCCCACGTTGGTCTCCTGCATCAGAGCCTCCTCCATTTCCTTCCTCACAAGTTCCAAAGCGGCTTGGAGCATCCTCTGTTGGGAAGACAACACGGGATCACTGTAGATGCATCCTCTCGGGCCTTTGGTTTACTTAGATGTAAAGTACAAAGAGCAGCCTGGACGTCCCTCACTGACCTAATTCAGTACTCACTAAACTCAGCAGACACCTTGTCTGGTGCCAGACACCAAGATGCACCTAAAAGTTTCTCATTATGTCACTCTTTCCAATAGTAAAACAAAATGTTAAAATGTGAGGTGAAAAGTAACAATAGAATACAAATAAGGTGTTGTAGTATACTTAAAGGTTAGAAATACAATTATGAGGATAAATGGTTGCATTTTGATAAATAGATGTATAAATATATACGTGATACACAGTCGTATAAAATATAATGCCAATTTGGAAAAAAAAACTATGATGTAGTAGAATTGCCATCTACTGCTGACAGACTGAGGTATGATGATATTTCTTATTTATTACTTGAGCTTATTTCCTTTTACATTTTTTAGTGTATATGTGTAAGTGTGTGTGTGTGCCCCCACAAGAGTGCCAGAGACACAAATTGAGGTCAGAGACTACTCGCAGGAGCCAGCTATCCTTCCATCACGTGGGTTTAGTGATCAAACTCAGATTGCCATGTTGCCAGCAAGCGCCCCTACCCAGAGAGTGGGGAGGGTGCAAGAGACACTCCCTCCTTCCAGCAATAGGACCCCGCAGGGGGGCGCGTGTGTGTGCTTGATTCCAGAGAACACATACACAAATACGCTTTGGGAAGGAAAACATGGGTCCCGCCATAAAAGTTACTCAATAAATCCTTCATACACGTGGTTCACGCTTGAAAGGGGGTCACGATAGCGCTGTGTAGAACGTGCATATAAAACAGCATTGGAACAGGTGGTGGTGCCTGACGGACCAGGCTGCGGTGGGATTTGCTTTGCTGTTGGAATATTTTGCTCTGTCAGCTCAAAGAAACCACGAGCCACACCAAGGAGGTGACAAACAGCAGGGCAGGCCTGGGGACCACAGTGACAGGGCGGATTCTGCAGGATCTGTGTTTGGTTAGGATAAGAGCTGGGCATGCCTTAGGCAGCTGCCGCTGATTGGCTGAGAGGTCTAGATGGTATTTGTTTGGCATTTAATTAAAGAAAAAAAACCAAACCTCCCCCCCCCCCGAATATTTATTGAAAACAGTATCACACACATCTCACTAGCCAAGCTCTGTGTGACGTAAGCAGGTAGGATCATAATTTTAAAATCTGATTTTAAAAAATACCCCATGCCTGAATTTTTATAAAATCAAGAGGAAGCAAGCGGTAAAATCATGAGGGATATTTCCAACGAGTTGAGGAAAATACCCCAATTTTTAATTTTAGAGAAAACAAACTAGCAAACACCTTAAGAAAGCGAGTGCTCCTTACAACAGGGTGGTTAAGCTTGCCAATGGAAGGAAGACCACACTGGCATCCCTGGTAACGGTTGTTCAGGAAGATGGAAACTTAAATGTACTTAAAACGAGTCCAGCAAATGTGAAGGAAGATAAGAGAGCAGCCTTCTGCGGTTGCGGTTGCCGGGATAATACATACTAAGGCTAGAAGCACTAGGGAGCCCCTTTACAGACAGGACATCTGTGCTCTCAGCCGGGGGGCAGCCACCCGCTGCGCCAGCCCCGTCGTGATCAGAGGCTGGACTTAGCAAATGCCCTTCCCAGGGGCAAAAGGCACCGCAGCTTCGGGGAGTGTGAGCAAGTAGGGATGGGGAGGAGACCAGGGAAGGGAGGCGCTTGGGAGTTACTTAAGAGACTCGGTAGCACCTTTTGGATCTGCTTGGAATATGTCCCTTCACATTCCCAGCTCAGCCTGCCCCAGTGTCTTCCCATTTTCCACACGGGGACCCGAGTTGCGTCTCACCTGGTAGCGGCTGGCAGCCTCCTGCAGCGGTTCAGTGTGGTGGCTCCGGTGTTCGGGGCTAGTGTCACAGACCCAACAAATCATCGTCTGGTCCTCCTCACAGAAGCGGCTCAGGTCCTCGCCGTGCCTCGCGCACTGGCGCGTCCCGGGGTGTCCTGTACCCAACCCCAGCTGCCTCACGCTGTCCACCAGACTGGCCAGCTGCCGATTGGGCCTGAAGTTGGCGGGCCTGAAGGGACTCCTGCACTGGGGACAGGCGTAGACGCCGCCCTGCGCGCTGTCTGACTTCTCGCAAAACTCGGAGATGCACCGCAGGCAGAAGCTGTGGCCGCAATCCACACTTATGGGCTCCTGCAGGAAGTCCAGGCACACGGAGCACCGCGCCTCCTCTCGCAGCCGCTCCCCGGGCGCGGTGGCCATGGCCCTGGCCGGTGGCAGCAGCTCCTACTGCCCTAGCGGTCTGCACAGAAGGAAGGAAACCCATGAGCAGGGGAGCAGGCCCTGGGGGGTGTTATCTCCTGGGCTGGCCCAGATCCAGCAGCCAAAAAGAACCACTCCTGGTGACAGCAACAAGTCCAGTGACTGTCACTTCCTCAGAGACCCAGCAGCTCCTTTTCTATTTTTTTCTATTCCTTCTTCCACCAGCTTTGTTTGATAAATATTATCATTTTATATTAATGCAGCATTTACACCATTCTAACTAACATTAGAGGTGATTGAAGTTTGCACTGTTTTGTAGTGTGGATTGAACCCAGAGCCTCACATAAGCCAGGCAAGTCCTACCACTGAGGAACATCCCCAGTCCTCTTTTTATCTTTTATTTTGAGACAGGGTTCTATTAAATTTGCCTAGGGTGGGCTTGAATTCACTCTGCAGTCCAGGCTGGTTTTGAACTCACTCTTCCATCGAGTCTGACTTTGAACGCCCTGTCTTCCTGGCTCAGCCTCCCAATAGTCAAGAGCATAAAAGTACATCAAGGACAGCTAAGTTGCCCTGTTGATGGCTGTTTTATTCACTCTTTTGCTCTTTGGGGGGGCCTGCCACCCAGCTCCCAAATAAATCACACAGATCTTATTATTCCTTATGAGTGCTCGGTCTTAGCTTGGCTTTTTTCCAGCCAGCTTTTCTTAAATTATCCCATCTATCTTTTGCCTCTGGGCTTTTACCTTTCTCTATTTCTGTATACCTTTCTTTCCTTCTTATTCTGTGTCTGGCTGGGTGGCTGGTCCCTTCTTTTCTCACTCCTCGATCTCTCTTGCTTCCTGATCCTTCTTTTTCTCCTTCTATGTATTCTCTCTGCCTGCCAGCCCCGCCTATCCTTTCTCCTGCTTTGCTATTGAACTTCCAGTTCTTTATTAGACCAATCAGGTGTTTTAGACAGGCACAGTCACACAGCTTCACAGAGTTAAACACATGTAACATAAAAGAATGCAACACATCTTTGCATTATTAAACAAATGTTCCACAGCATCAACAAATGTAACACATCTTAAAATAATAGTCTACATTCTCCACTTTTTGTCTAAATAAAAATGAAAGGTTTTAACTTTAACATAGTAAAACTGCATACAACAAAAATGGTTATCAAGTAAGAATTACATTTACAATATTCAGTCCATTTGTATTTATTACATTCAGAGAAAATACTACAGTATCTTATCAGAGTGAGTCCAAAGTTTTATACCTAACTTACTTTCTATCATAACTAAGAAAAACTGAAACTCTAATTATTTAGTCTTTAACTCCATCAAAGACCCCAGAAGGAATTAATATTGCCTAACAACAGAGACATTTGCCTGCCTGGACAGTCACCCAAAGTTCCTCTGCAATGTTGGGGCATCCATCTCCAGCCTACAGGCCTTGAGTATCTGGCAGACTTTCAATGAAGCAGGAAATTTGAAAGACTGTCCCACCTTGTTTTGGCAAAGTTCAACAGTCACTTTCCGGTGGGTCATGTGGGTCCTGTGTGTCCAGCCTGCACAGCACATAGTCAAGCAGTCAAAGCAAAAACAGTTTCTTGCCCAAATGGCTAATCTTGCCACAGTGAAAGCAAACTCCTATGGAGTTTCTTCAATGCCCATCATCCTTTTATGAAGTAAATGGGTGCTTCCAGGAGCAGATGTGTCTCATTGTCATGAAAAGACCTAGGTTAACAAAACATTTAAAATGCCATATTCTATAGGTCTTTGAAGTGTTTAAAGACTATTTATTTGTCTAAAATATATCTCTGTATGATCTTGAAAACATGCCTAACATATCTACACATTTGATTGTTATAAATGACAAACTACTAACCTGCGTTTCTTGATTATCCTAAATAGTTTATAATAATAGCTTTCAAAAACTAGAATTTTAACCTTACATTTTAAAATAAACTAATAGGTATAATACCTTAAACAAGAGTAGAAACATACATACAGTGTAACAAAAATAACTTTAAATTTACATCAATATACTATCAAACCTGATCCATCTCATTCCTGAAGGAATCCACAGCCTCTTGTTTCCTGTGGGAACAAACGCAAAAACTCTTCTCCAAAGCATTTTTGATTTCCACTTGACAAATATATTCTTTGAGTTCCATTTTAAAGTTAATACATTCTTAAAATATTTAGGCTGGTTTATCTCATCAGTCTCTCTTTCAATCTGGTGTCTCTTAGCAGCTGTTATTTGCTTATCAGCTTTCAAAAACTTCAAAATCAACACAGTACTATATAGGATCCAGACTCCCTGTGTGTTTCTCATCTTAGGTGGCTTTTTTCTTTCATATTACTTTCACTCTCTCTTTAAAGACTTTATTATTATTTTAAACCATTTATTTCTTTCAATGACTGTCTATACCCATATTCTTTCTTTCTTAAGCCTATGCACATTGTAAAACACACTGAAACCTGTTTAGAGGTTTTTTCTGTCTGGACCTCTTTTACTGTGTTTCTCTAGTCTTTTTTGACTGTATGAGCAAACTTCAAACTGCTAAGCTACACTTGGATCCTCCAAGTGGCTCTCACTGGCTCTGCCTGCTCTCAGGCCATGAAATCCAAGCCTAAAGCTTGTGGCTGGTTGGAGGTGCGTGTCCAGGAATTGCATCCAACCTTCCTAGAGCTCTAGAATGCCAATGCTTGCACTGCCACAGAACAAAAAACTAAGTGAAAACCAAATTTTTGTTCCTACTTAACATATTGGCTGTTTATGGGCTCACCAGCAGGCAGAAACTCTTAAAGGAGCCATATCCTCTTTTTTTTTTTAAGCTTTCTCAGGCACTATGGAAATTCGAGTCTCATGTTGGTATGCCAAAATGTTGTTGGTTGTTTCTAACTCTTTTGGGTCTTTGGCAGACCCCCAAAGAGAAAAAGAGCCCAAAGAGTAAAAAACAACCAACAACATTTCCCCTCCACCCAAAAAATATTTAAAGCCCACAAGATGGCAAAGATGCTCGCCTGCTGACCTGAGTTTGGTCCCCCAGACTCACACAGTGAAAGAAGACCACTGACTAATAAGAGTTGTCTTCTAGCTGAGGCACCCCCCCCCCCACACGCACACACATAAATGAACTCTAAATTTAAAATGAACAGAAGCTTACAGAGTTTCTTGAATATGTGGACTCAGCACCTAGCTCTCAAGTCTGTCAGCCCATGACATTACACATGAAGCTGGCTTGGGGTTATAGGCCTCATAATAGGGCAAATTCAGAAGTGAGCCTGTCTCTTAGGAGTCCTTCATGCCAGTGTGGAGAACACCTGCTCTCCTTCCTCCCACAACTTTCTGAATGGCACCATGGACTTTTCCTGCTGTAATCACTATAAAAAAAAAATCTTACACAAAATACTCATTTTTTCCCCTTAGTCTTTCTTCCTCTAAACTTGAGATTTTCTACTTTCAGAAATAAACTACTACTTCAAGGGAAGATGCATGGAATGATGTGGATGGTAATGACTGGGGTGTGGCCCAGCACGGATGAGAACAGTATAAATAGTATAACGAGTGCCCTCCTGCCCGAGGAGGCCAGAAGAGGGCATAGAATCCTCTGGAGCTAGAGTTACAGGTACTTGCAAACCACCTGACATGGGTGTCAGGAACGGAACTCATGTCCTCTGCAAGAGCAACAGCAAGCCCTCTTGACCACGGAGCCATCTCTTTAGCCTCTGGAATGAACAAGTCCAGCCCGTGAAAACAGTACCCGTTGAATGGGAAAGGCTGAGACTTGGAGTAAAGTAATTTTGTAGAGGATGTGTTGTGACTTGGTCCCGAGAGGAGGCAGGACCAGGGTGAGCATGGTGAGGTGGTTAATGTCTGTCCTCTGAGCACTCTTGACTCTACTGAGGGTTTGTTTGTTTGGTGGCTGGCATGCTTCTGCCACGTTCATCCATACGTCCTGTCCCCAGGGTGTATTTGTTGGGAGTCTTGAGTCTCAGAGGCAGCACTGGGTACTAAGGTGCAAGGAGAAGGCTGGAAATTGGACCTCATCCCTCCAGGAGTCTTGTGCTCAGCTGGTGGAGACCAACTCAGACTCAGGGTAACAAGGACAAGTGCTGACTAGGAGAAATGCTCCTTACCGGGTCTGTGGGAGCATAGCACAGGACTCTAACATGAAGCCCCGGTGGCTGGAGCTCAAAGGCCTCTGAGCTAAGACAGGAAAGGCGAGGACAAGCTGGCACAGAGAAAGCCCCTGTTCCAGGCTGTGTGGCCCCAAAGTGTCCTGGACAGAGGGGCTGGCCATGTCCAGATGATTAAGAAGTCTCCGGGAAGGCTGACCCTGGCAAACAGTAGCAGATAAGCTTGCAAGGAGTGGCCAGGCTGGCGACTCAGGACCTGGCAGCTGAGCTTTATTATGAGATAAGTCTTGGCTTGGAGCTTTAGTGGGGCAAAGTGTCAAAGTGCTCTTGAGGCCATCTGTCTCAGGGTTAAGTGGATAATTGAAACAGATTCTTCAGAGCTAAATACAAAAGACATTAAAGATGTGACATCAGAGAAGAAAGCAGGAGCAGAAGGCTTAGGGAGAGCAAAGTAGATCCTGGCTACAAACGGAGTAGTTTGGGGCAGACTGTGCCTTGTCCTGTGCTGTGTTTCATCTCACATCCAAGGATGACGGTGTTAAAGTCTCTCTCTCTAAGGTTCTTCAGAGTATTAAATAGGTACCACATGCTTAATAGAGGTTTGCCATATAGCAACTATATGTAATTGAAGAAAAATAAAAGAAATTGCAATTTGAAGAGAAGGATGAATCAGAATCTAGCCATGTTAGTCATGGGAGATTTCTCACAAACTTCTTTTACCCCCAGAACATTACAGAATGATGGAGACATATGGCTGTTGAACAAATACCAGCAGGATAAATAAGGAAGTGGACAAGCATAATCAACACAGTTTATCAAAGACGCTGTCTAGGGGAGAGTTCAAGGGTCACCATCTGTGCTGTTGTAGACGGTACAGGTGTT